CTTCTCATCACTATTAAAAATGGAGTAAGAAATCATAATTTCACCAGTAGCCCCATCTAGAGTTTGGAGCAAATAGCATAAAAAATGTCAGTTGTCGGTTTTGACCTTGGTCATTCACGTGGAACCTCTATGTGCTTTGTGGGTTGAACTGTCGTTAGCTTAACGATGTCGTCCATAAACGATAAATTACTGAATAGGGCCCTAAGTCTTGGACTGAAATGAGATTCAAAAAATGTGCCACTATTTTTCAAAAGAAGATTATCATTCTGTTTATCGCTAGAAAAAGGTCTGCATCGTTCGTTAAATGCTTTGTCGGTAGTGTCGGTTTTATTTCTATTTTATTTTAAAGAGTTTTAAATTAGTTAGTATTATTTTTGTTTGTTAATTGCCCTGTCGGTAGTGTCTATTTTATTTATATTTTATTTTTATATTAAAGACTTAGGGCCCTATTCAGTAATTTATCGTTTATAGACGACATCGTTAAGCTAACGACAGTTCAACCAACGACTTTTATAACGATAATTTTTGAAACTCTATTCAATAACAAAGTCGTTACGTTGTTTCTAGTTACCAAATCTGAACGATGATTTCTAGTAAGTTGGTATTATAATTTAGTGTTTTGTGATAAAAGAACGTATGTTGATGATTATACCGGGTGTTTAAATTAAAATGTTAAGTTAAATATCGCCGAAAATATGCATTTTATAAAAAAAAGTATCAGATAAAAGTTTTATAGTTTTTTAGGGGAAACATTTTGGCTAAATTAATTTTTTTATAGCTGACCATAATATGGCCATATCGAGGTGGATTTTTTTTTCAAATTGGAACCCTTTTTTTACATAGGTGTTCTTAGAGTTCATAAAAAAATAAGAAACTTCTAAGGGAAACATTTTTTTATTGGACTTCTACTTATTGAGTAACATCTACTTGAAAATTTTGCTGCGCGAAAAAAAAGTTGGGTTAGCTATAAAAAAAACGATTTTAGCCAAAATGTTTTCCCCAAAAAACTATAAAACTTTCGTTTTTTTATAAAAGGCGGTATTTAACTGTAACACTTTAATTTGAACACCCGGTATATTTGACATTTTTTTGGAACGTAAAATAAAAATTCTACCAGTAGATATATTCATTTGTTTTTCAGAATATATTAATTATTGTTCTTAACCTACAACACGATCAGGGGGTCGATTCTCGATTCGTAGGAATTCTGTTTCTCGCTGGCCATTTTTGCTGGTCGTATTGTATGTAGGGTTTATTTAAATGAGTAGGGATATATTAAAAAAAAAAACAGAACTATTTCAAAAGAATACAAAAAAAAACAACTCGAGAACAGTACAATAAGTTGTATTTATTGGATTTGAAAGACAAACCAAATTTGATATTATCAATCCTTTTTCCTGATTATGTTGATGTCATCGGCTTCGACAACTCAGGCCATTAGCCTCGTTTTCTGTGTAGGTTACGGAGAAGTATTATTATAATAGGTACTTCCATAATATAGGTTTTGTTACTGTTTCGCAGTGCTACTTTAGGAACAGCACTGTTAATAAAAATCCAATAGTAAATTGTCGAATGGGCAATCCTAACTTTGAATAAAATTTATTTTTAAAATAATTAAATAAATTAGAAAAAAATTCCTTACAAATTGTATTTGCTGTGTTAGGTAGATGGCAATTTAGTTGTAAAGTTTGTAAAAAAGTGCTTTTATTATTTAGAACATATCCTGATTCACAATGAAAAATGAGAGGGAATGCAAAAATCTCTATAACGACACTTCATATTATTAACGACAGCTCTGTGGCTATCGTTGATGAACGACAATTTTACAACCATATTTGTCTATTTTCAACGACAATCGTTATCTACTGAATAAGAAAAGTCGTCTGTGAACGATTATCGTCTATTAACGACGTCGTTCAGAGTTACTGAATAGGCCCCTTAAGTTAGTTAATATTTTTTCTTCTATATCATATAGCTTTAGTGTTTTCTTTGGCAAATAACTAACTACACAAAAAAATTAAAAGAAAATAAAATTGAGAACTAACTTTAAAAATGAGTCACACGTGGTATTTAAATTTACACCAAAATGACATATGACTGACCGAACCAATAACCCAATTCATTCCATTGGCTTTTGTTATGACGTCATCCATATGAACCAAAATCTGAACCGCTGTCAAAAATACTGTCAATTTAACGTCAACCATAACCAGAACCATACGTCAAAGGAAAACGACTTATGTCGCTACCCCCTTAAATATACATGAATTTCCCACTGGCACCTATTGTTCAGTGTTGCCAGAATATATTTTTGTAATGTACCAGATTTATCTAAAAAATGTACCAGATTTCATAAAAATGTACTAGATTCTATAAAATTACCAGATTTGTCTAATTATGAAGTATGGTCATTAAAGAGCAAAAAAAGGTTTATAGAGAACACGAACACAACAATTTTAAACAATATTTTATCACTCGACAAATTTCTGACACTATTTTATCTCTAGAGCAGTTTTTGAATAAGATTTTAATACCTTTTGATACTCTTTTATCTCTCGAACAGTTTTTAAATCTTTTTTTATCTCTTGAGCTATTTTGAAACAATATTTTATCTCCCGATAAATTTCTAACAGTATTCTATCTCTCGAGCAATTTTTAACAACTTTTTTTTATCCCTCGAGAAATGTTTGTACAAAATTTTTTGTACAATTTTTAACACTATTTAATCACTCGAGCAATTTTTAATAGCTTTTTTACCTTTCAAGCTATTTTTGAACAATATTTGATCTCCTGTGCAATTTTTAAGCAAAATTTTAATAATTTCTAACACTATTTTATCTCTCGAGAAATGTTTAATAGTATTTTTTAATTCTCGAGTAATTTTTGAAAAAGATTTTAATAATTTATGATACTATTTTATCTCTCGAACAGTTTTTAAACCTTTTTCTCTTGAGCTATATTTAAACAATATTTTATCTCTCGATAAATTTCTAACATTATTTTATCTCTCGAGCAATTTTTAACAACTTTTTTATCTCTTTAGCAAACTGCACAATATTTTAACTCTCGACAAATTTATAAAAATATTTTACTTCTCGACAAATTTATAAAAATATTTTAACTCTCGATAAATTTTTAACAATGTTTTATATCTCGGGCAATGTTTGTACAATATTTTATCTCTCGAGCATTTTCTAATAGTATTTTATCCCTCGAGCAATTTTTGAACACGATTTCAACAATTTATAATACTATTTAATCTGTCAAAAATTATTAAATATTTTTATTTCTCATTAAATTTCTAACAGTATTTTTATCCCTAGAGCAATTTTTGAACAATATTTTACCCCTCAAGCAATTTCTAATACTATTTTATACTTCGACAAATTTTTAACACACTTTTTTTAACTCTCAAGCCATTTTTGAACAATATTTGATCTCTCGTGCAATTTTTAAACAATGTTTTATCTCTCGAGAAATATTTACTATTTTATCTCTGAAGTAATTTTTAACAACTATTTTAATTTCTCTTGCAAGTTTTGACCAATACTTATATTTTACACTTCAAATGAAAACGTACGCTGAAAAAAGTACGAGATTTTGTTTCGAGTGTACTAGAGTACCAGATTCTCAGAGAATGTACTAGATCTAGTACAATTGTACTAGACTGGCAACGCTGCTATTGTTTGACAGGTCGTTGGAATCAGGGCTGCCAGATTCAGTACTTTTGTACTGAATTCAGTACTTTTTCAACTTTTTCAGTACGTCAGTGTTACGTTTTTAGTTTTAGTACGTTTTCGTTGAAATTTGTCAATTCAGTACAATTTTCAGTACTATTAAGTATTAAAAAAAAAAAAAGAAGATAAATGACATATTTCATTAGTGGTTGACACTGTTGACAGTTATTTTACAACTAATTACTAATTTTTTAAATTTGTTGTAAGTTTATTGGATGCAATTTTCGGAATTTGGAGAGGAAAATGGATAAGTAATAAGTTTTCTTTGCAGATTAAATAATGTTTATAAATATGATTGTTTTAATTTTGAAGGTTTCTTATTCATCAAATTAAAGATTCCCAAGAGGAAAATCAAATAAATATTGATTTTAATGCTGAAAATATTGAGGTTGAGATAGATTCTCAATTTGAAGATGATGAGGAGGAGGAGGAGGATGGTGATAACACTGAGAACCATCAAATAGTGCATAAGAAAAGAAAACTCTATAAGGCTAAATTTAATTGCAAATGGCAAGAATCGTTTTCTTGGATCCGGTCAAACAATGGCGTAGCTCACTGTAAGATTTGTAAAAGAAATATTTCCGGTGGCATAGTTCACTTAAAGAGGCATGAAAAAACAAAGCGACATTTATCCAAAGTAAAAATAGCTCAGTCAACCCCACAATTGATGAATTTTCTCTCCTCGGAATCCAAACCAACAATATCTGTAGACACAAAAAGAGCAGAATTAAAAATGATTATGTTCTTGGCAGAACATAATCTACCATTTTTAATCATGGACCATCTGCAGGACATGATTCAAATATTTAAGTTTAAGAATTTTATTTTGTTCCTTTACACTTAGTATGATATTAGCATTTATTTTGAGTGTTGTTTTTTATTTTTTTACTCATAAGCATTACTCTTTATTTTATTTAAATTTTATAATTTTTTTTGTTATATAGTTTTAACAAGTGTGAGAAAACACAAGAAAATTATTTTTATTTTGCTTTCGCTTTACCTATGTACCTGTTTGTTTCTATATGATAACATTTTTGTAAATGTTTCAATAAAAGCTGTTTTATAGGTTAATTTAAATTTCCCGCCCTTTTATGGTGTTTTGTGATTTATGTTTTAGTACGTTTTCATAAAATCTAGTACTTTTTTAACAACTGATTATTCAGTACGGTTTTTTGAGATTCAGTACGTTTTAAAAATTTTTTTAGTACGATTTGCCATTTTCATTCTGGCAGCCCTGGTTGGAATGCCTAATAACATAACCTTCCTCCATGAACATAACCTATTTCTTTTTTATTATTCGCATTTACGCATTTCACATTTATATAAAATACAAGATACCATATTATAAGCAATTTGCCTTTCACAGAAAAGAATATAAAAATTGCTAAATCATAACTAAATTAAATATATATATATAAACTGACATCCCCCAAATTCATAGATAATACATTTTCGCGCCAAACTGTGTTCATATAAATAGACTTCCCGGCTTTGGCGCCTTTAATTGTAAGGTTTTATTTGCTTGTACTGTTTGCGTGGAAATTTTGGTAAGTTTTTTCTTTAATAATGTTTACAAACCGTTTTTAATAATGTTTTCTGTTAGTTTTAAATATGCCTGCCTACGATAAAGAAAACATTACCTCGACTATTGTCTCGAAAACCGAAAAAATTGTTTTATCCGAAAACACGGCCAACATAATACAGATCTCCTCCTCGGATAAATCTATTAAATCAAAAAAATCAATTCAGGACGGAGAAGGCTCAGATTTTGATCCAGAATTGGAACCTTTACTTCGCGATAATCCCCGCAGATTTGTCGTTTTTCCCATAGAATATCCTGATATTTGGGCCAAATACAAAGAAGCGGAAGCGTCTTTTTGGACTACTGAAGAAGTTGACCTATCTAGAGATTTAGAACACTGGAATAATCTCAGTAATGATGAAAGGCACTTTATATCTCACGTGTTGGCATTTTTTGCAGCTTCAGATGGTATTGTGAATGAAAACTTGGTAGAAAGATTCAGCCAAGAAGTTCAAATAACCGAAGCTCGATGTTTTTATGGTTTCCAAATTGCAATCGAAAATATTCATTCAGAAATGTACAGTATGTTGATAGAAACATTAATAAGTGATCCGTCTGAGAAAGAATTCTTGTTCAACGCTGTAGAAACCCTACCTTGTGTAAAAAAGAAGGCAGATTGGGCTTTGAAATGGATCAATTCAAAACATGCAACTTTCGGTGAACGAATAATAGCTTTTGCAGCAGTTGAAGGTATTTTCTTCTCTGGTAGTTTTGCTTCAATATTCTGGTTAAAAAAACGTGGTTTAATGCCAGGTTTGACCTTCTCTAATGAGTTAATTTCAAGAGATGAAGGTCTACATTGCGATTTTGCTTGTTTATTGTTCACACATTTAGTTCAAAAACCTTCAGAACAACGTATAATTGATATCATTCGTGATGCTGTAACCATTGAACAAGAATTCTTATCTCAGGCTTTACCAGTAAGTTTAATAGGTATGAATTGTGATTTGATGTGTCAGTATATTGAATTTGTAGCAGATAGATTATTAAACGAAATAGGTTGTAAAAAAATATACAATTCCACCAATCCTTTTGATTTTATGAATATCATATCAACTGATGGCAAAACTAATTTCTTTGAAAAGAAAGTGGGCGAGTATCAAAAAGAGGGTGTTATAGATTCCGGTGATACAAATTTCAAGATAGATGCAGATTTTTAATTTTCGAATATTTTTGTTAGATTTTATTTACTTATATTCTATTTTAAAGTGTCTCGTTCTAAGATGACAAGCTAAGTTTAATACTTGTGTACTTATATTTAATTTTTATATTGTAAATAGTTTTCTAGAGCAAATTTTTTGAAGAATAAACATGTGTAAATTCAACTAAAGGTGATTTAAATATACCTGTATACAAATTTTCATTTATATTTTAGATATACTGCTACAAAATTTATCAAATTTAAGTTTTTTTCAGTAATACATATTTTTAATTAAAGGGTAAGACACCGAAACAGGGAAAAACAGCTATGTTTGTGTTTTCATTTGAGAATATTTCCAACTCTTAAGGTTTAATAAAATTATAGAAACTATTAAATTGTTGCTTTAAAACATTAAAATAATAATCTCTAATTACCTAAGTACTATTTTAGTTGTTTATACCTCTAAATTAATTAAATATTTTGATGAATAAACATACAGTGTTTTTTAATGATATGCGAATATTTAAGGATGTGAATCTACATGAAAATTTAATGATAGTTTGCTTTATAAAAAGGTTTTGTTACGAATATACATTGTGCTAATCTTTTAGGAAAAAAGAGAAATAATTAGTATTTTTGCAACCACTTGAGATATTTCAGTGATATTTAATATTCAGTGACAGTTAATAATGGTGCATATTTTTCAATACAAAAATAATTTTCAGCTTTAACAGTGGCGTGCATATGGATACTAGCATCACAATTTTTGAAGAAAAAATGCTTCAACAATGCTTTTTTCCCAAATAAAAATTATTTTTAAATCCCCCGTTCAATTTTAAACTTAAAGGATCTCCTGATTTGTTTTCCTATGTTGCTCAGTTTTTAAGTAAAAAAATCAAAGCTTTTTTTATTGTACAAGAAAATTAATGTAAATATTGAAGAATGAAGGAAAAATAAAATTGACATTTGGGCCATAGTTTATTGAGCAAACTACCACTAATTTTTCATGTAGGTTTGCACCCTTAAATATTCGCATATCACTAAAGAATACCCTGTATATTTATTTACAAAATAGATACCTATTAATATTTTGTTATTTGAAATTATGTTCTTTTAAACATACTTTTAACGAAAATATTTTATTTGACAGTATTATTTATTAATTTGGTAAGATATGTGAAAAAAAGCCACCAGATTACATATTGTTTTTTTTGTGCGAAAAATAGTCTCGACAAATTTATTAGACATTGAACATTTTTTGAACTTAATTTCTTTTGTAAACTAGAAACTATAAAAACCGTTTGACAGTATTTGTTGACTAATTACAATTTTTGATGTAGGTATACCAACAAATTTGTTTATTGTAAAATTATTTACAAATTTCATTAAAAATCAACTGGTTTATTTACTCAATATTAGCAAAATTCTGACATTTAAAAAAATAAATGTAATCACATGGCTGGTGTACTGGTTAAAATTCTTATCAGTTATCAACTTAACGTTTTAATTCCACATTAATGTTAATAAACTGAAAAATTGTATTATCTACTGATAATTTTGTTTTTAATTTAAATGTTTTACTTACTGTGTTCAATGTCTTTAATCTAATAATTATACTTTATTTTATTGTTTCAAATATATAATTTACCATTTTATGTAGCACCAAAAATTTATCTCATATTGAGCATATATTATCATTTTATTGTTCTGCAGAAAAGCAGTCTGTAGTCCATTTAGAAATAAATTATTTAAATGATGCTCTTTGTTTTATTTTTGAATAATTGAAAGAACTTATAGTACAAAAAATAATTTAATTAAATTACAGTTTTTACAAAAAAGTAAAACTAATGTATTACATAATAATATATAATAAATACTATATAAAGAAAAATTAAAAACCAGCCTTTTCTAATCTATCCAATTGCTGCCCTAATTTTTCTTCTTTGGTTTTTCTACTTTGTGATACAGTTTTTATTTTGATAAAATCGCTGAGAAACTTATCGACATCTATTTCTCCATTTAGAAATGATTCTGCTACTTTTTCGCTGTCTTTGTCTGCTTTTTCTGCTGCTAGCTTTAATGCTTCCTAAAATAAACGAACATTTTGATAACTGTTTTCCAGTTTAATACTTTGTTTGAAGGGGCTATAGAGGCAAAGGACCTTCCAAAAACCATACAACCCCTTTTTGTCCCCTAGAGGTAGAATTTTCAAAAAATCCTTAATGGGTGCACTATAAAGTCATTATACCTTCCAAATTTCACACATATTAGGTTTGTTTGGATTTCTTTAAAATTTGATTAAAACAGTCCGAGATCCAGTGGAACAGTTGGTAGCAAATGATTCACCACATACAACTTTTAAACAGTCTACTGGTCAATTAGTTCTCAAAGTGTTTTTGAAGAAACCAAACAAGCCTATTGTAGAACTAAATATTTTGAAATGTTAAAAAACATTCACATCCAACGACTATCAACTACTGAACTAATTTTGTTTACAAAAACCGAATTGCAAGCATTCACAGTGTTATCTACATAGTTGACAAATTATGAGATAGGGGAAAGTCTTGTTACAAGTATAGTTTATGGTTATAATTCTGAGCTGACTTAACATAAGGCTCTAAAATGCACAAAAGGCTTTAAAATTACATTAAGAAAGTATATTTGCATTCTTAATGACAGTCATTATATGTTTGTGTTTTTCTAGTTGCAATTATTTTTTAAGCTGAAGGTGATTCACAGGAAAGTACACCATTTAGTTTACAGTGTGACAATGGTAATAAGCACGAATCATAGTTGTATGAACCGATTCATTTCTAAAATGGGTGCATGCTCCCACCTGGTAAACAAACTCGCACAAACCACCTTCACTCAATTTATTAGATGTCTTACTCTTTCTAATATGGCAGCCAATGTGACAGCTCTTGTCTGGGTAACAGAGCTAAGGGACAAAGATAGGAAACACTCTGGTTAATAAATTTAAACAATGTTAATTATTTATTAATTAAAAAAGAATACTACACTTACAGGCTATTATCAATTAATTATTGTAAATCTATTCATGACAAATATTTTCTAATTTTTTATTATTTATAACTTTAACATTTTTGTTATTTTCTAAACGAATGACCAATGGTGTCTCATTTATAAAAATGTTAAGTGCACACTCAATACTGGCAACTCAGATATTTTTTCTTCCTATATCAAATCTCTAACATTTTGAAGCCATTTTTTTGTTCTAAAACAATAATAAGTACTTACTTTGTGACAAAAGTTGGCTCCTGTCTGTGTTACTTACATGGCTAGAAATTACTTTGGTAAATTAAAGAACGCCACATTGAGGTTGTTAAATTTAATCATGTGGCATGTGTTACTAATGCAAAATGTGATCAGATTTATTGTGATATAATTATTGTCCTCAAATTCCACACAAAAACAACCATTTCGCTTAGTTCATCTTAGAGAATAACACAAACATGAATTCAAAATTAAAATTCAGGATACTATGATATACATACAACTAATTGACATTTATATTTACAAACTGTCCAGGTCTACTCTGGCTACAAACGACGTGTACCTTTAGTTAACATCGAAACGTAAAGATGACGCCATCGTTGCTGTGGTCATTGTGTTTCCTATCTTCATGTCCCTGATCTCTGGGTAAGATAACACACAATCTGAATACTTGTAATAAATAAGGGCTTAATTATGAAAGAATGAATTAATCTAGTAGCTTTTTGTTGTTGGTCACATTATTGATACCTAAATAAAATATACAAGTTTTCAAATGGGAACCTTATGACCTGAATGATTAATATAATATTGTACTGATTATTATTAGTATATATAAAAAACATACTTGAATATTTCTAGGAGCATATTTATCTGATAATTGCTGATACATTGAATACAGTCTCTCATTTTCAAAGGCGAGTTTAGCAATAGTTTCCATTCTACTGTCAATATCAGATTTTATTTCCTCCAATTTCTCTGTCTTTGATAAATTTGCAACTGAAACAAATACTTTTAGGAACAAAAAATTATTAATTTATTTAACACATTACCAGCCATTTCTTCCACCTGTAATATCAAATCATCCAAAGCTTTATTTTGCTCCCTAATCGGAGGCAGTTCATCAATAAAGTCATCTTGTCTATCACTATTTTCATTTAAAAACTGCAGCTCCTCTAGAGATAAAGCAGATAATTCTGGCAGTGCTACACTCTGATGAACAAGGCTGCTCATGTGGCCCAGCTGCGGAGGAGGTGAAAAATTTTTTATATTCGGAAATGTCTGGTAACTTACAGGACTAGCTCTAATTTCACCATCTAAAATAATGAGTTTTAGATAAAAAATTAATATATTTTATTATGGTATTACTTATTGTTACAGTTGGAGATATATTTGCAGAATGATTCAATGCTATAGGAGGTGGATTTCGTTGAAATTCTCTTATTATTGCTTGTACTACTCTACCTAAATCGGAATGTACTGTAAACTAAAATATAAATCAAATCATTAGTATTTTATTTTTCTCAATTGTTTATTCGCAAAAGAGCATCAGTTAAAAAGTTATTTGTCCTACATTAAGTAACCCAGGAGCAGATTTAACATCTCCATCGCCTGTTATCCAATGGTGAATAACAGTAGGAACTATTTTTAACAGAGGCTTTTCTTTAGGAAATTCTTGTCCTAATGATATTTTTAAACAAAGTTTATTTCCTCCAGAGTTAAAATGAATGTCATATTCCTCGCCTTCGACAATTTCTACAACACTTAATTCAAAATTTAGTAAGCAAGTCAATTAATTATGATCAAAACCTTCTTACTTGTCATTAAATATTTTTAAAGTGTTTATTTGATGCTTGCGAATATCACCATCTAGCTTAAATAGCCTCGGTAACATTGTATTGATTTGAAATCATTAATAAATAAACTAATTACAATTTACACTTTTTTTTTTGTTGACAAAGTGAACGTGACATTTGGTCACAGAACACTTATTAATTTGGTGACGTTAGACATTGACATTTGCCGCGTTTGAATATCGACATCGGATGCATCTTGAACCAATGAACTGGAGTGGGGTAGAAAGCCAATGTGCATATTATGGGTGAGATTACAGAACGTCTGCAACTTTGCAGATCTGCAAATATGGCGGCAACTTTGAAAATCTGCAAATATGACTGACTTACACATGCAAATATCAAGTTTTCGTATTCCAAATTTGGGTTTAGGGTTGTTGGGGGTAATAAACCACAATAAATATTGCGAATTTGCAGATATTTTTTGGTATACTTACATTTGTAAGTCCGCCATATTTGCAGATTTGCAAAGTTGCAGACGTTCTGTAATCTCACTATTGCTGCGTTTGAGAATCCACATCGGATGCATTTTTTACATCTCGAGCGTTTTTTTATTCACATCGGACACATCTGTCCCATTACATTTACGTATACTGAATCACGTGATCATAGATTTTTTACATCTCAGATGCATCCGATGTGGATTCTCAAACGCAGCATATATTATATCAATAGAACAAGATGCGACTCTATGGGCGCAGCCATTTTTATTTCTCATCTCACTCGGGACTCTCGGGAGTATTTATAATAACCATTTTCTGTTTCACATTGTTATTGTTCAATCCACAAGCTGGTGGATCAGACAATAACAAAGTGAAATAGAAAATGGTTGTTATAAATACTACCAAGAGAGATGAAAAATAACCTGTCTTCGCCCATAGAGTCGCATCTCAAGCCTATTGACAAGCATTCTACCCCACTCCTGGGGGGCTATTTTCAAAGTATGGGAGCACTCATTTCTCTCAAGATTCTCATCAGAAATGTCATACGTCAATGTGGAAATGTTGTTTTTAAAGGCATCGAGGATTAAAATTCTTAGGAAGATTTTAACTCTCTCTAAATAAACCGAGAGAAACAGTCAGTGAGTTCACACTGGCCCTAAGAGCCCTAAAAATACGGTTTTACGTTGACGTATGACATTTCTCTTGAGAGAAATGAATTCTCTCGAGTTTGAAAATAGCCCCCCAGGGGGTCGATTCTCGACTTGTAGGAACCTTTTCCTATAGGAATTTTTGACATTTTTCTACACATCGGAAATTTATGACATTTGTCTACATGTAGGAAAGTGTCACAAATTCCTATAGGAAAAGGTTCCTACAAGTCGAGAATTGACCCCCTGGGGGGCTATTTTCAAACTCGAGAGAATTCATTTCTCTCAAGAGAAATGTCATACGTCAACGTAAAACCGTATTTTTAGGGCTCTTAGGGCCAGTGTGAACTCACTGACTGTTTCTCTCGGTTTATTTAGAGAGAATTAAAATCTTCCTAAGAATTTTAATCTCCGATGCCTTTAAAAACATTTCCACATTGACGTATGACATTTCTGATGAGAATCTTGAGAGAAATGAGTGCTCCCATACTTTGAAAATAGCCCCCGTGTAATCTCACCCGTAGTCGGTTACTAGAGAGTTTAAAGGCATTTCTTTATAAGCTTACTACAACATACTTGGTTACAGTAGTGGTTACTGTGGTGACATTACCACATACTTAAATAGGTATACGGCGTAAAACCCTCTGCGCATCTTTACTGAGTGTTTAATAAAAGAAGATAGAAATGACCGCCATTTTTATATAAACAAACTGAAACTTATGCAACCAATTTATCTTTCCATCTGTCAAAAGTGTCAAATTTTAATGTGTTTGTGAATTTGGTTAAATTTTTTTGTGTTATTTTAGAATATTTTGATTGTGGATATTATTTTCTAAGTGTATAAACGTTTTATTTATTTTAACATTTGTGAATAGACTTTAATCCCAGTATAAGTTCTCTATACTGGGCTTTATTCAAGATGTCTTGTAAGATCTTGCAAGAACATAAGAAGACTGTTGCCAATAGATTCAAATGTTACATTCCACAAGTAATAAGATTTAGCAAAAATAAAGGATATGAAAGCAGTGTCTTTATATTATTTTAGGGTTCCAAAACAAGCAGATCGTTCCTTATTGTGGTTATCTGCCATATAGAGATTGGACAAAATTTCTTTTAAGTTGTTAGTACAATTCACTGCAGAATCAATAAGGACGACCCATTCACTAAAAATTTGTAGCTTTTAGAAATTATACAAGAAGAAAGTAAATTGTTTAAAATAAAACAAATATGCAACCATCAATTTAATTTTAAAGTATCCTGGAAATTTTAATATTTTTAACTTCCTCTACTTTTGTCATTTAAAATTAGTATTTAGGTATTTAATCTATTATTTGTCGGCCTATTATTTATCAGCCTAACATGTATTTTTAAACATTAAAATATTTTTATTTGTTGTAGAATAAAAATTTAATTCAAATATAATATTGTATTATTTCTTTTAAAAAATCTGTACAAAATTATGTATTTAAAAGTGGAAATCTGCAACCAAGTTTTCATATTGCTGTATTTCTGGTCACCTATGTACTAGTAATCTTGTATAAAAATGGCCGCCCCTATGTTAAACAGGTCGGACGTCTCTCTTGCTCCGTATACCTATTATAAGTATGTGGACATTACGCATACCATGGTTTCCCTATTATTGAATGTCATATGTCAAATTTAATTTAAGTTTGGGGATTTCTAACCGGAATTTGAATTTTAGAAATTTTAGGATGTTTTGACTTTGTTATTTTTTATTATAGTATGTTCTAGTAAGCTTATAAATAAATGCCTCGTTAGATATAGCAACATATGATTTGGTAACATGTAACCAAAGCCGAGTAACCAAACGTTATAAAGAAATGCTCTGGTTACAGAAGTATGTTCTGGTAGCTTATAAAGAAATGCCTTAAGTGTCGATTCCACCGTTGTGTTAAACTGAAATTAAAATGACATTGTTAATGTAAAAATGTCATTTTAAACTCCGTTTAACACAACGGTGGAATCCACAAAGCACGTATCTTCTAGAGACCCCACGCCAATGGCTGCGTTCAGCAGACGCAACAGTTTATTTATTTTCTGCTGAACGACAACTTTTCTCAACGTTGCGCAAAACAGTTGTCGGATCAGTCGCCATTTTTTGGAGCGTATTTAATTTATGCTACCTTTCTAGTAAACATGTTGCGAATTCTGTTTTTGAGGTTAAGATCAACTTAAAAATATATTAAAGACGAGGGTGCCGATTTAAAACATGGAAGTTCTAGAGTTATTTGACCTAGATCTCAAGCAAACTTTTAAAGTTCAGGTGACTGCTAAAGAAAAGCATCTAGTAGTGACCATTAAAATATTGTATTTCATCACTTAAGCTTTCTTTACAATAGTTGCTTTTGCTATTATACACAATACCCTTCTACATTTTACTTTTTAATTTACACACGATCCACAGATAAAATGGATAAAATATAAAATCATAAATTTGGAGTTTGGAGGTTAGTTACAAAACTTTAATAAATGTCAAATGTCACTACAGTTTCTTGCTCAAAACGCAAAAAATACTGTTCAGCAGACTATAAAACTGTTGCAAATTGATCTGAAACAGATCCCGTTCAGATTTTTTCTGCTGAACGTAGCCATTGTTAAACTTTTAAACCATTGATAAGGCCACAGACCATACCCTTTAAAGATGGGCCACTCAACAGTGAAAAATTTTACTCATCTTTCAGCGCCATCCGTAGCAGTTGCAAATAGTTGAGTTAAAAAAAAAGAAGATAACTAATAATTGAAAATTTGTTTAAGATTTATTATATAGATGGCGGTAGGGGTCAATGAGCGCGGGTTTTTCAAACTCGGCCTTTCTAATAAACCACTACTAAGTTTTCAAAATTATAATTTTTCGTTCTTTTTTACTTAAAATGATTCAAACATTTTATTCTTCACTCAACATACTTAGATGGATATAATCCATTGGGTTATGTTCTGTGATAGATAAAATTTGAAATATTTTAAGTTAAAAAGAAAACGAAAAATTATAATTTTGGATTTGTGGAACAAAAAATACATCTTATTATGAAGTAAAACACGATTATAACCATATATTTTTTATTATTAGAATTAAAATTGCACGAATTCTTATTACAGTACACAATAATAAAGAAATATGAATATAAAACTATTACGAAATTCACCCATGGTTGTATGCACTAGAAGTTGTAACGAAAGTTCCTGGGGAAAATTGGCTCTGGCTGCTGTTGGGTGTACTTGTCACTTCCTATTGCAGTGTTTGCTGATTCGTTTTCATGTAAAAAATGAAGTAGAGTATCAGTTAAAAAATATAAAGTTCAATTTTATTATTTTTGTTTTGAGTCAATTCAGCTGAGCTATTAATTTATTAGCTAGTGAGAATGAATCGGCATTTCTTAAAAATATATCGTAGAAGATTTTTCAATAAAATAAAGGAATTTGAATTTAGTAAGAATGCAACTTTTATTAATTGGAATCAATAAATTGTGAAGATACCTAGGTGAGGTAGGTCACAGTATATGGAGTAAAAAATAATAAGAGTCGCACAATATAAAATATACAATTATTGGTATGTTTGAAAAGTACCTCATTTTGAATTCGGAAAAAAAATTGTATATAGGTATCTAATATAAAGTATCCATTACATATTGTATAATTCTAAAAAAATACTAATAACACTATTTATTTCAATCTTCTTAATATTCACATATTTTATCTAGTTACTGAAATTGTATAGAAAATGATAAAAGTTAGGTTAAGATTTTTAATTTTTCGTAGAAAATATTAGGTTACCCGCATTATTTTGGAAATTTATTTTACAAATTGGGTACTTTTAAGTAATAATATATGCTGTTAAAATTTGGCAAAGTATTTAAGAATAAAATACAAAAAGAAGTTTTTACTTGTAAAGAAATAAAATTGTAAATGTATTCCTTACCTGCGACTAACTTTATCCTGACAATCTGGATCAGCACAAGGACGAATTCGCACCATAATTATATATGTTTAAAGCTTTAAAAATTCTCTTCGAAAAACTAACCTAATAAAACAAATCAAACA